TATATATATATTATACAGAAGAATTATATAGCATGTATTGTATATCCTACAAATTTGCTATTGGCAAGATTAGGTATCCAATTATTTCTCTACCAATTATAATAAAATTTGAATGTTGATCAAGTTGGTCTAGTAGTTTTCAAAATTACAATTTGTTGGCGCAACCTAAACTGCTCCCATCGAAATATTATCCACTTTGGTCTAATGACATCACAATTTTATCCCGTAGGTGTAACTTCCATGGAGGTCGCAACATCCCAAGAGTGCTCCCATAAAAGCACACTTAACTTTAGAATTTTTGATGAAATTCCAACAATTATATCAAAAGGTGTCTTGATGTTTAAGAACTCAATTTCATTCTACCTAAGAGATTACACAATCTCCCCTCCTTAAATAGCTAGTGTTTAGTATCCTTAACCCAGAATCATTCACCAAACATGTATGATTTCAGAAGCAGCCATCATAAATTCAAGGTATAACTCCTACGATATAGCACATTATTTTTTATGGTGCATAATGCTCATCTTCATTAACATAATGCTTTGATACTGTTTGTAAAAGCTCAAACTCTAACTCATTAATAGCCCACAATTTTGTCTCATTGAGTAACATACCAAAAGGTCATCCATCTCAAAAGTACTCCCATAAGAGAACACTTGATTTTAGAGTTTTTAATAAAATTTTAACCATTACACTAAAAAAATGCCTCAATATTTAAGAGTTCTGTTTCATTCTACTTTCAAGGGATTTTCACATTGTTATTATGAATCACTTTCATCAAACTTAATTTAAAATGAACTTTCATAATCTTCATAAAGACCATAAAAAAAAACAGAAATTTTTCTAGAATGGTATAAACTTTAAAACAAAGCGTTAATTCTACCCTACGTCCCCGAGATATATTGATGACTATATGTTATTCTCAGGGAGCACTTATAATTTAAAACTATTCCAAATTAGATTTATAATTTAAAAAAAAAAAGGATTTACATGCATACCAATATTCTTTTCTTAAGTATTTACATATGTAACGCCTAAACTTCGATATTTACTTATATAACACCAAAATTTTAAATCACAAAAAATACAAATAATATTAACTTTCCTACAATAAATTACATTTTAATACATATGTTTTAATGTTACTTAAACACTAAATGTTACTCCTCACATCATAAGAATCTTCTCATCTAACCCTAGAATCTATCAGCTACGGATTTTCTCCTCTACCCTTTGATTTGAGCTTCCCATGTGTTACTGTTACCTCTTGAAACTGAGATTAGTAGATCTATTGTCAAGTTCTACAACTCCTTATTCATTTCTATGACCAACTATAGTTCTGTAATATACTCAAGAATTCATCATTGACAAGTTAATAAGGAATTTATTACATTTTAGCCCCAAAATATATAAAAGTACTAAATCAATCGCTAGTCTCTTCTAATGGAGGAGGCTAAAATAGTGGGGACTATATCCACCAATATTAAATCAATATGGGGACTAAATTGATATTTTCATAAACTTTAGGAATAAAATGACTCTGAAAAGAATCAAGAGACCATTTTGACATTTTTCCTTTATTAAAGTTCAGTTTCAGCATCAGATCTGGAAAGCTCATTTTTTATTAAACTGCCAGTTTATAAAGGCAAGCAGTACTTCGAAAGAACAGCAGGAAACTCAAAATTTACAGAAATATTACAATTTACAACGTACCTGAAGCTCAATCTGCCAGCTTCTGTAAAACTTGAATAGACATAGCTAGGCAGTAAAATTCAATTACTACTGCTTGAGAAAAAGTATGGCAGCGGCGTTCAAACACGACTCTCAAACAAACAAAGCTGATTTACTCGGTTTTAACTTCAGGTGATGTTGAGTTTGCACACTGGGCACGAAGGCTTTCTCTTCAGCCATGCATCTATGCACTACCAGTAAAAGGGAAAGAAGATCAATAATTCGGTTTTATCAGTTGAACAAAAAGATATGATTGAAAAAACAAAGGATGATAAGCTTTTACAGTTTTACCATTTTATGGAATTTGTGCAAGCAGGGTAAATGACGCATGGTTTCGCCTACAGAGGGGATTTCGAGGCATACAGCACAAGCTTCTTTATTGTTATCATTCTGTACCGAAACTGGTTATAGTCTCCAAGCAAAGACCCAATTCTAAACTAAGCACATGTTTGGGATCAATTTTATTTTTTATTTTTTTTGTTTTTCAATTTGTGTAAACAAATTTATTTAGTGTGCTTTTATATATTTTTATTTTTTATTTTAAAAATCAAATTAACATGTTTTTATGACAATCAAAATAAATTTTAAGTGTTTTAAATATTTTTAAAAATAATCATATTTTAATCGAATATGCTAAACATGTTTTGTTTATAATCAAAACATTAACAAAAATATATATAAAAACAAAATAACAAAGTAAAAAACAAAAATGATCCCAACAAGCCTTTAAAGGAATTGTTTAGGATCACTTTAGTTTTTTTGTATTTTGCTTCTTTTTTTTTTTGCTTTTATATTAAAAATGTGATTGTCAAGTGCATTATTTTGCATAATTTTATATTTTGTTTTCAGAAAAATATTAATTTATTTTTAAAAACACTCCAGAAGTGTAAAAATTGTTTTGAGTGTTTTTAAAAATGAATATGTTAAAACATATCAAACATGTTTTATTTAAAACAAAACCATAAATAAAACAAAATAAAAAATAAAAAATAAAAAATAGAAATAAAAAGTGATCCCAAATAGTCCCCAAGAGAAATAGGGAAAGGAGACCTGAATCAGTGATACGGGAAGGCTATTTATTTCCGCAGAGCCAACATGCTGGATAATGCTCCCATCAGGGTTAAACTGCATCTCATAATCAGTTCTGCAGCAAAGGGTTGCTGTTATTACCTAAAGTTAACGACTGTTCATATCTGATTAACTAAAAGTATAAAGATAAGTATGATTTCTTAAGAAGGTTAACCCTATTTTGTTGCTAGAAAATATTTCTCAGCACAAAATATAACACAGGAGCAACAACCACCATGATTGAAAGCTGAAGTCACTTTTTCCATCTTTTTTATGGATATTTTTTACAAGAAATGAATGCTAGCATCCTGACAAAGTTGATGTTTGGTTTGCAGAAAGAAAGCAATAATTATGCTAGTCAATTTCTCAAAAACAGAACCTAAATAATTTTATTGTGATGTTTATGCCTGAATGGTGCATAGACATTACCAACTTCGAATGAGAAAACAAAAAAATCCTTCTCAAACATATATCATTTTCCTTTGATGGACAGAGACTTGTAAAAATATTTTACAGTTTCAAATAGGGTATAATGCCATTTACGGAAAAGTAGGCACAACGCTAATTATAGATAAAGAAGGCACAATAATAGATATAAATGAAATCTCATGTATGGAGCTAGTAAAAAATTTAGTGTGAAGATAAATTTTGTGTGTATGCTAAACTCAAAATGTAGCAAGGGATATAGATGTTCCTTCGCAAATTACTTTACTAAACAAAACAGAAATTTATATACAAGCCTATATGCTTCTTGATCAACCATCATAGCCTTTCTTGAAACCTAGACTAGCACAAGGGGTCTAAAATTATACGACAACCAAACGTGGTTCTTACATGTTTTCAGCACCATCTCACGAGACAATGTATTTTTTATCAGCATTGACTCTACTTTTTTCAAGTTTATAAAATCATTGGAAACAAAAAAGCAAACATCTATAGGAATTGCGAACAAAAAATTCTAATGAAAAATCTTTCCCAAGAATTTCCATGACTGCATATCAGGTGCACCAAGAAACCAATATTTATAGATAAGATAAGAATCATAGTGCACGACATTATCCACAGAATAAATGCATTTATTTTATGAAATCTATTTTTCTGCGCCAGCATTGATCCTATTCCCCGCCGTGCTTCAGCAAAAATGATAGCTATTATCCCACGGGATCTTAAATCCCATTTTTTCCTTTGTTTTGCCTCAAATCCCAGATAATCCCATTGGAAGGTGTATTTCCAGCATTTAGAGGAGCTGAAGCTCGTGAATTTTTAAAATAATGGTGAGAAGCAATTTTGATTGTCAAATAAATTTAAGAGTGCAATAACAACATCCAAATTTTTAAAAAATTTATTTTGTGCCCCCTCTTTAAAAAACATATGGCTCTGCCATTGGTTACAGGCATACTCAATTAATTGCTACCCCTCGTTGTCCCTCTTCTTGTTTTCCTGTAATTTTATGCTGGTTCAATATGTTGAGGCCATCTCCTAATATAATGCTTAGTGATGACATGTAGCAAGCTTGATTTAATTTGGTAGATGTTAAATATCATAATATAGATATCAGATAAATGATAGTAGGTAAAGAATTCGTACGAGTTAGAGAACGATAGATAGATGTTGTATAAGGAAAATTTATATTCATATCTTAACAAAACCTAATCCGATCTCTACCAAACAGAACATTAAACAAGCTCGTAAAAGATGTTTTTAGCTTAAACACAAACCATGTTTGAATGATCACTTAAAGTTAATAAATGAAGTTTCAAAGAGGCCATAATCCAATGTTGCCTGCACCATTGAGTGCAATTTGTTCCATCAACAACTCCGAAAAAATAGGTTGTATAGTTAGACTAGTTCATCCAGTATAGTAAACAATTGAAATATAAATGTCAGATTAAACTGGCAAAAGGTTGTTTTCAGTCATTTATAAACCTTATATTTGGCACCCTAGCTTTTCATGCACCCCGTCGCTTTCTCAGCTTTACACGTCATGAGGAGCCATTGTGAGGTGGAGCCCGGTTACTAAAGGTGCAGCAATTTTATAAACTTTAAAATGGAGAAGACATGAAACAAACACATAATACATTTCAACCGTTTAGAATATTTATATACTTAATCATCATCATTAGCCTTAACCCAATTAGCCTTAACCCAAATATACTAAATATTTATATACTAAATTTTAGCTTCGCAAATCATTCTAAACTTCTGGCAGAGTATCTTAAAGATACCGCTTCTCCTTCCTAATGTTCAAATAATACTTGGCTAATCGTATACTTTCTGTCCTTCATTGCACATGTATAAACCATCAAAAGACTATTTCAATTATCACATCTTAAATAAATATTACTTCGACTATTCATTCCTCTAATATAATCATTCTTTAATTTATCATTCCTACTTTTGCCATGAATCAATCATAACATTCCCATCTATCATATTAAACTTAGCTATCAAAGACATTTTTATTAACACTTAAATCCGTATATTATAGACCTAATTATAATTTACTAAAATTAGCTTTGTCTCGAAAATATCAGTCACATAAAATGCCCGTGGCACTGGTGTGATTTGATCACTCCATCTTAAATAAAGAATTAAATCCTCATCTATTCTTTTTTATGACAGATTCTTAAATCTATAACACCTAAATTTCCCTCTAACTCCAATAATAGGAAAAATTTAAAAATACATTTTAAAAATTCATTGCACGTTCATTTGTTACTCTTTATTTTACTAGGGCTAGATTTAGATTGACTGACTATAAATTATTGGTGATTTTTTTTTTAAACTGTCGGTGAATTTTTTTTTTTAACTATCGGTGAATTAGTTTAAGTCGGAGTACCAGTTTTGCATTTAAGAATTAGGTTATTTTGTTTTCTTTTCTAGCTAGATTTTGATTGAATGAATTCGCAAATATAAGTTTTTTTCACTTGGATGGCGATGCAAGGAATGCATTATAAATGTTATATGATCAAGATTGTATTTTTTTTTTTAGATTTAATAGAGATGTCTATTTCAAAAATTTCATGTTTTTGTTTTTATTCAGGTTTTGTAAATTGTTGTTTGTATCAAGATTTAAAAAAATTTATACCCCAAAATGCAAGGTGACATGGTGATTTTGTCAGCATAGCAAAATCATGTCACGTGACGATTTTATCGATTAAAAAAAACTTTTGTTGATTTAAGATAATTTAAAAAAAATGGCATTTTTAAAATTTATCCCAAATAATATTGCTTGATAATTGTTAATATAACATTTATTACAAATACATATCATATATTTAATCTCTATTTTAATAAATCTAACTACTTATCTTAAATAATTATTTATTGTTTTAACTTTTTACGTATTTTATTAGTTATCTCACCAATTAAAACTATCCTCGAAAAAAAAAAATATTAAACAAAGCATCCCTTGATAGTCTTATCTACAATCAAATATGTCTTCTAAATTTTAACCTAAAATATCCAAACATAAAAAAACTCTCAAATAAATTCAGAGCGTCAAATTTTCGGAGCCAAGAGATTTTTGGTAACTTCAGTGAAGAAGGTTTTTTCTCCATCTTTGGCTAGTCATGTATTCTCTATAATAGCAGCTTAAAAATGATTAATAGATAAATGAAAGTTAAATTGCTTTCATAAATTATAATTATTCATAACTTTGAGTAAATGTTGTTTGGGAGCATCTAGGAATGACATGTGGTTGTCAGTCCAAGAATATTCCGTCGAAAGGTCCCCAGTAAATAGACAAACATTGTGTTGGTGAGCATCAAAATAAGACTATTGGAGCGTAATCCAAGAATCTACTATTGAAATATCCCAACAGAAAGAGAAATTATGTCTAGTGAGTATTGGTGCAAAACACTTGAATCTCAATTCAAGGGTTTCTTGCTGAAATAATCCGATAGAAAGATATAATTTGTCTAGTGAGCATCGAAGCATAATAATTAGATCTTAATCCGAGAATCTGTCGTCGAAAGTTCTTAACAGAAAAATAATTTGTCTCTTAAAGATCAAAGCATGACTCCTAAATTTCAATCTAAGTATTTGTTAACAAAATATCCCAATAAAGAGATACTCTATTTGGTGACATGGAGGTAAAATCCTTAGATCTTAGTTTGAGAATTTACCTTTGAAAGGTCCCAATAGAATGATAAATTATCTGGTGAGCATCAATCCTTGTTCCTTGGATATTAATATGGGAATTTGTTGTTCAAAGGTCCTAATAGAGAAACAAGCTTTGCAAGGTGATTACCAGGAGGTGATATTGACATTTCATGTCTAAGTATTCAATAACGAATAGTCCAAACTAAGAGATATACATGTTTGAGGATCAATATCTCATGATAAAATTTCACTTCGATGAGTTGTATGATATAAAATATGGTGTTCAACTTCAGAAATGTAAATGAAAGAAAATATATCAAAATTAGATTTTAAAAGAAGTTATTTCTACTAGTAATTATCATGGCGGTTAACACCCTAAAAATTTTTCTTGTTATCTAAAGATAAGAATACTTGCTTAAAAGGAATCTCACTGTTGATGGCCACTATCCAGCTCAATGGTGAGAGATTCTCATCGCTAACGCTATGGTCATTGCTATAGCTGCTCAAAGTTGCACCAAAATAGTTCAAAAGGAAAATATTTAGAAGGCAAATGAGAATGAAATATATTGAACTAAGGGCTCAGCAATTACTGCCAGAGCAACCAATCATTCAATAAGATTTAGTGTCATAAACGAGTATTCCTACACATAAATAATTCAAAAAATTATAATGGGTTAAAATGAATAGCTCTATTGATGACACTGAGCAATCTTTCTAGTTCAATAATATTAGGTCCTTACTATCAAAAATAAGCATCCTGAAATATTATCTGCTAATGTACACATGGTTCAAAAAATTGCCCAAAAAAGGAGCTAATTGAAGATAATAGGTAAAAATGCTTATGGTGATTGAAAATAAGTTGTAATCATCAAGTTGTTATTTTCCATCTGTTATAAAAGCTCAAGATTCATGAAGTGAAATGATCAAAAACAGGATTTGGCATGACATCTAATTTATTGCCTCATATCATTTATAAGATCATTCAAAAATTAATTTTAAAGAAAGCTAATTGATGAATCTCCTAATGGTCTACACCTTGGGAAGCCTATCAAGGGATCCCATTTTCAGCAAACTTTAATCCTACGGGTGGAGGGGTTATCAAATCTTTGCTAGTAGGATATGACCTTGGTCATTCCTTACTCTTTGATAAATTGAGAACTATCGAATGAGATACTTCAACCCCACAGTGAAGGGTTAACAATTTTTTGTCACTAGAATATGACTTTGGTCATTCTTCACTCTTCAATATATCAAAAGCTATCAGATAGAGGGATATCTTTAATCCCCGTGGGTGGCAAAATTATTGAATCTAAGCCAAAAAAGCAAAACTCCAAGGCGTCAATCATGCTTAAAGACAAGTTCCCCAAGATAGGAAGCCTTCTCATTTCATTTGAGTTGATATCATGCTTTATGACAATGTCCCTAACATGTTTCATACTACTGAAGTTCCCCTGGCAAGATATGGGGCATTTTTTTGGGAGTTGACATCATTCCTTCAGCTGAGACCCTAAAAATACCTAATCATTATTGGATTTTTTTATTGCAAGATAAGGAATTTTATCAAATATTCGGGTCAACATCAAGCTCAACAACGAGATCCCCATATATATCAACCAAGTGTTGAAATCATTTATTTGTTGGACAAAAGGATCAATCATTCTAGATGGCACTAGAGTCTTAAAAGCTTCTTATCTAGAAGACTTTAATCATCTGAGTCGACGCCATGCCCAAAAATGAGATCCTTGAGCACCTCAACCACTAAAGTCCCTTCTTCATACAGGGAGCTCCATTTCTTGAGCAATATCAAATTTAAGGCCGAGATACATAGCTAAGCCAAATACCAAGATCTTCCATTTGGCTCAATATCGTGCTCATCGTTGAGATTTCCAAAAAAATTTAGGGTTCTCATTGTGCTTTTGGCCAAGATCCCCAAGTAATTGAGTTAACATCGTGCTTAAAGTCGAGATCCCTGAATATATTACATATTATAACTGTCTCATTGTCAAACAAAATGTTCATGCTACTCTGGGTGACAATGTGCTTCATGCTGATATCCCCAAGTTGACGTTCAAACTGTTAAAACAAAAGTTGCATTCAATTGGCCAAAAGTAGGCATGAAAACTTTCAAATAAGATGCATAAGACAATTCCATAAGTCAAGTGTTCATCTCTAAAAATTGCCATGATTTCGAACATCAGGTAAGAAAATTCTTCAACCGATTAATTTGGAGAAGCATGAATCATCTTCTGCTCAAGTTTAAGACTCGAACAAAGGTTGGACTCAACAAGCCAATATGTAGCCTAGTTGTTGGCTTCTCTCTTCACTCAACAAGCCAAGTTTGTAGTGAAAATATTCATTTTACCAATCTAATGTTGGTTTCTCGTCATGATAAGCATGTCTAAGCACTCTGATCTGTGTATTCTTGTTGCCCAACCCCATAGTCGATCCCTAATTGAAGGGTGTAGCCTTAATATTACCGTGTTGCTATTCCACTTTTAAGATTAAGGTTTGGGTATCATAGAAAATCCAAAAAAATTGTAATTGTACCACATTGTCAATTGATGATCTCAACGCACACTTCAGCATAAATTTTTTAAACTTAGTGGTGAACTTTTCTACTGATAGATCATTTTGATGTAAGTAATAAAGTTTTAAGAACATGTCATATTTAAAAGATGTTAAAAAATAATTGATTCTTAACTATGGAGATATAACCACTTCTCTTCATACAAGCAACACAGTTCCACACAAAAAAGATAGGAGGAAGATCATAGTTTTAAAATAATATATAATATAATTTTTGTTTTTTATATTAATTAATTTACTATTTTTCTATAAATAGATCTTAGAAAGAAACCTTACCAAAATAGAACACATGCACCCATAATAGGTAATCGAACAACATTGGATGGACAACATATCATCATTTTTCATCGATTCATACCGAGTTTATTTGTGATATCAAACATAATCTTCATAAATCATTTTAAACAGATTATATCCATGTAACATTTGGTTACCCTTTTCATTTCTACTCCACTAACATTAATTTTGTCAGCCCAGGTAAAGAATGCATTTTATGCATAATAATCCTAAAATTATTAAGCATATCACATTAAGACATCAATTGAACTTCTATTGTCATTGGTTAATAATTACTAACATCATACCCACTAAATTTAAATACTAAGAACTTGATTTTTATTTTTATTAATCTTAGCTCCTGTATCCTCCAAACACTGTCATCATTATCATAACTTTTCGCTACTTCAATTTAATTCTCACCTACTAGAGCCGTGCCAACTGCAACAAGCCCACCTGCAACAAGCATACATCAGGCCGTTTTTTTTTCTTTTTTGGAAATTCAGTAAAAGCACCAAAATAACAAAAAAAAAGGATTTTATTGATATAAACCTACCACTATTCCGAACTCCTTGCTCACTCAATAACAGCTTCAAACACTAGTCAAAACTCATTCATATATACCTTCAAGAGTAAATATTTGAAATGATCTCTAGATTTTCTGAGTGTCCATTTTAGTACAAGCTTTCTTCTAGTGTTCAATTTAGTCCCTCAACTCATCAAATATGAACTAGCGTTCCCCCTCCTGATTGGTTAAAAAATAATGTTGGTGGGGCTCTCCTCTCTTCACATTTGGCTAGAATAAGTTTGGTTTTGAGGGATGAGACTTGCAAATGCATTTTGGCGGCTGGCCAACAGCTGGAGCAATGGGACAACACCCAAGTTGAACTAAAAGCCATACTTTTCATCAAGAATCTTCTGGAGCCTTGGATGTTTCAGATGAAAGGCATCATGGTTGAGGGAAATAACACCACTGTGCTTAACTTCCTTAGGACTACCATGGAAGAATGAAGATGGAGGAGCCAACGACAGGACAACGATGGTATTGCTTTTCTCACTCACTTCAAGCAGGTTTTGTCTCACTTCATACCTAGAAACTTACATAGGACAGCTTATTTTTGTGCAAAGCAGGCCTTCTAGGATAGCTTTCCTTCGAATCATGTGCATGAATCTCATGCCCATTTTTCCTTTGCTGAGGAGGATAGATCACATTTTGTACATGCTAGATAGCATAGTTTTGTACAAGATGTAATCTTTTTATTATTGTAATGCAATATTCACATTTCAAGGATGGAAACGAGTGAAGGAAAGCTTTTTTTGAAGACATTCTAAACTTTTTAAGGCCAATCTCACTGCTTAATAACAACTAAAAATACTAAATTTAACCATAAAAGCCCAAAAAAAACCTCATGAAAAGCTTTCTTCCACCAATTTCTATCCGCTGAAGACATAAATTTAACGATATGATCAAACTGTTTCAAACTTGTTGACTTGAGGGACTGAATTAAACACCTAATAAACTTTTGTGACATGAAAACGCTTACAAGTCTAGGGACCAATTTAATCATAATAGCCTCAAAATACACCATTATTCCTCAATAGGAACCAAAATATTCTTGCGGAACTTGATTATACATTTTCAAGGTCAACAAAATTTATGTGTTAAATATTTCTTTTGCTCTCATTCTTTTTTTCCATTAATTGCCTTATAGAAAAAATGGTATCCATAATGGATCATTCCAACACAAAATCAAGTTTATTCTTAAAAATCTATGTGAGTTTTCTAAGTCCTAATTTCACTACCCTTTCACACTATATCATTGCATGATTCAAAAGTTGGATTTAATTGTAATTACCAAAATCTTAAACAACATTATTTTCTTTAGTATTGACATAAAAATACTTTTTGTCTTATCATTTGCCATCCTCTTCGCCTCCAAACTTCCCCAATATCACCCATAACTCTCCAAATATTAAAAAATCTCATCTAGACCCAAAGCATTATCTTTATGCATCTTCATAATAGGTAATTTTAATTCACCTTTTTTTAGAAATCCATAATAACTCCCATTATTCTATTCACAATGCTCTTCATAAAAATTTTTTCTGAACACTCACTGATGATTTCTCAAATTTACATTATCAACTTTCTTTTGACTTTGGAAAATCAGAGCAAAATAACCTGAACCTAGCTTATCTACTTTACTCACTACCCTTTGCAAGACTTCCAGCTCTTCTACAACCATTGCAAGACTTCTACCTCTCTTAACCCACCAAATCCCAACAATCTATTTCCAGACAAATGTAAAAAAAATAAACCACCAAATGGTAGCTGCAATGAAGCAGCGCGAACAACGTCCGTGTCAGGTTGTTTCTAAAGAAAATCAGAGCAAAATAACCTGAACCTAGCTTATCTACTTTACTCACTACCGTTTACAAGAATTCCAGCTCCTCTACAACCATTGCAAGACTTCTACCTCTCTTAACCCACCAAATTCCCAACAATCTATTTTCAGACAAATTTAGAAAAAATAAACCACCAAATGGTAGCTGCAATGAAGCAGCGCGAACAACGTCCGTGTCAGGTTGTTTCTAAAGAAAATCAGAGCAAAATAAAGATTCAGAGACATTTCAATGTAGGAAATTAGGATACATGGATTAATGTCTTTCATAACTTCATTGTGATAAACCACGGAAAAAAATGAGGTAATGCAAATGAGAATTTGCTTACTCATTGAAAGAATCATTAGATGTAATATCATCATACTCAAGCATGTTGTTTTCCAGTGCATCTTCCATTGCCTCCAAAAAATCTAGTCTCTGCATTTTAGAAATGGTAAGCACATTATGTTGATAAATGAGAAAAACCACGGACATTTGATATTAATTCTTGCATTTTTCTTTTAGTAAGAGCTTAAACAAATTACCCAATCATGAAAATATAAATCATATACTGCATATGCTTTTCACAACAAGTTAAGCCCAGCTTCTGACATAACCATTGCCCAAAACCTTCTCCTAGAAGATATGGTAGGGGCATAAAAAGCACCATCTCTAAGTTTGAAAAAATTACAAATATGAAAATAATATAAGTATAGAACAAAAACTAATTAATCAAAAATTTTAAGCAAATAATTAGTGAGATTAACTAATCCAGAAAAACCATTACCCGCCAGCACCACCACCACCAACCGCGCTTGACGTTAATTTCATTTTTCTTTAAACTAAATAAAAAAATATAAACTACCGCATTTATTTTACACCGAATCAAACAACCCCAATGAATTTCAAATACTCTACATTTCAATTACACTACATTCTACACTGCATTCTTTTTTCAGCAAAATAAATAACCCCTTAGTGAGTATTTGTCAAAAACATCCCCTTCACTGACTCTTCTACATCAATGATAAAGACAATATAGAATGCAAATCTAGAATAATATTTCAAAAAATGATATATTGGAACTTTTGGCAAGTTTATTAAGTGTTTTCTCACAAGCAATGCCTGTGCATGTCTAAAAGCAAATGCAAATAAAAGATAGTACAGTGAAATTTGGCAGGAGATCCATTCATCCGGTATCCTAGGGGGCAATGATTTTAAATTAGTACAATTTGGTAACCGGGTGCTGAATTTAAGCTTTTTAAACGGACTATGAAGTTAGCTCAAAATGAGGATTTATCAGTTTGCACAGGCCAAGTGATTTTCAGTCAAAACTTCCTCAAGTTTCATGCACCTGTTCATTTGTATTTAATTGATGAATGTGGAATATAGTGCTGCCTTTTTTTCAGTTAGAAAGTTTTTTGTCATTTAAAGTGGTTGCCGATGTATTATTACAATTAACGCCCACATAATATCAGTAAAATAACAATACTGCCAATTACAAACCAAACTATCTTCTTTTTTAAGAAAATCATGGCATAATGTTTCTATATGTATGCTTTAAAATGATCAATCAAGTAGAATTGAAAAAATAAAACTGCATTAGAAGTATTAAAAATCAGTACCGTCTCTAGATCCACTTCACTATTGAAGTTACTACTAATTTCACCAAATATCACCTGCAAATATAACATATTTCAGACAATTATACAAAAGGAAAAGAGTTAAAAGCAAACGTAAGATATTCAAAATTTCTAAAATGCATTGTAACATGATTGATTGTACACAATGATGGTGGTTGGTTATGCGAATACAAATGTACAACTTAAGTGCCCCTCTAAAAAAAATTAACAAGTACACTAGACAAATAATATTATGCATACATACATATCATTCACTTTAAAATTCAACCTAAGAAGTTTGATCATACATCAAACATGCAAAACTAACACCATGAAGGACACTCTCTAGATAGTAAGAAAAATGATTCATTAATTTCTATGAATCAAATGAAAAAATTTTAGCAATGTAGAAAAATCAATCTAGAAAATTTTCAATGGATTTAATTTAAGAAAAAATAGGTAGAAGTGGAACTTTAGTGATGGCTTTATAAACCAACATTTTTCAATAAGTTTAATCAACCATCAAAACTTCATAGAAAGTGATATGGTTGAATAATCATGTTGTTCTTAGATTGCAGATCAACATCAATAAACTTTATCAGCATAAAAAAAATGATTGTGAGGATTGAAGCCCCACTCATAATGCTCCTTATGTATAGCAACAGCAATAAGATAAGATGCCGCCTAAGTACAACTCTACATGAATTATTCTAGCTATATTAAACAGGGGATTTAAATATATACCTCTGCAAACACCTATATTTACATCTCACACCTAAAACTTTATATTTATAAATATAGCTATTAAATCCCTAATAATTTACCAAACATATCACCCTGATATTTCTCGTTCAAGACCACCACACTCTATTCAAACTCCATTGATGCACTCAACGTTAACAATACCGTGGTCATGCCCATTGACAAGCCGCTGCGGACCTACATCGATGCTAATGATTTGATGATTCTACAATCTAATCCGTCCACCAGCATCATTAAGAAGTATTTGCATCGGCAGCATCACAATGTTGGACATTCTCTTTCACATTGCTGGCAATGAGCCAGTCAAAGATGACATTGAAAGAGAAAAGAAGAAAACTCATCGACATGTTCTCGGCGACAGATCTACAGTTGTACTCTATTGCTCAATTCCAATCCATGTTAAAACTCGGTGTTGTAGAATTCAAAGAACGAGTTTCTGAAATCACAGCCGCAACTGCAGAAACTGTGGAAAAACAAAGTTAGAAGCTCATCACCTGTCATTATGAGGCCACACTTGGAGAAACGATTGCAGCATTAACCTCAAGACACATTTATCAAGTTTGGGTTGTAGACAAGCAAGAGATTCTGAGAGGCTTTGTTTCTTTAATTTACATATTGCCAGACATCAAGAACAAGGCATTGGCAACAGAAAGTGAGCTACAAGATGTGGCTGCTACTGAAGCTGATATTTGAATCTCTTATGGTAATTGAGCATCGAGTTGTTTTATACTTTTAAAATCGTCTTTTTGTCAAAATAAATAACACAGTCTCAGTTCATTTGTGCTATTCCTAGTAAAGCCTAAAGGTAGGAAGATGAATCAAGTCAAGCTATTTAGTTCTTAGAATGAATAATAGCTCTTTGATCTGAGACTGCTGCGGCATTAGACAGAGTTTGGATAGGGCGTGAATATGATGGACGTTGATGAAGAATACTCGGGTTCTATTTTTGGCCAATTACAAAAAAATTAATTGCCATATTAGTAAATATAAAGTTTTATGTGTGAAATATGTAATAATAGGTGTTTTAAGTGCCATGTATTTAAATCAAGCTATTAAATAACATGATAATAAAGTGCAATAATTTATAAAATTATATTTTTTATTTTAGCTCTGCATTGAACATGATAGTATTCAAATTACATGCATAAAAAATAAACAATCACCAAAAAATGATTAATGCATGAAATCATGCAATACTCAAATCATAAAGGCAGAGAGGAGTTTGAATCATCCCTTGGTCGGCAGTAGCAGCTTGCAAAAAAAAAAAAAACCCTGCCACAAAGATTTTTGATAAGTTGGAGGTCTCCATATTAAAGATGATGAACCCAAAAATTCAATCTTAGAATGAAAACAGTAACTATCAAAATTCAATCTATTAAAACTCTTCACAAAACACAAAACACAGAACACATTGAATATAAGAAAAAAGAAATCAATCTCTGATAATACACTAACCATTTAAATGTGCTTATTATGCACAAGGAAAAATATCATACAAAAAATATGCCATTATATTCGTGTCCTTGTATCATTCTAGATTTACAAACGCCCCGCTCCACAAGAAATTGGGTTAGAGAAATTGATACAGGATCATAAAATGTCAGGAGGATTCGTCACTATCCCATCTATAACTAGATGAGGTCCCTTTTGCCCAAAATTCAATATATAAGAAGGAAAAATTATTTAAAGCTTGAGGCGGTTGCTCTGAATGGTCTAAATGGCACATCTATGCTTTTAATAGGCAAACTATAATCTCATTTTCTTTGTACACGTGTCAGAAATAAAAGGCATTGCCAAAGCTAAATCCAATTTAAGCGTGCAAACTCAAGATAGGAATAAATGCAATATATGGTTGTTTATGTTCTAAGGAGAAATTGTCACACTCCAATTGACCCCTCAGATCAAACAGAGGTGTAGCAGATGAACACAACTTAGAGTCAGACTAAGCTCCCACCAATTCTCCACTCACTTGGTCATAGTTTGAGCATGTGAGGATGAGCATTAATGAAAATTGAGTCTGATTGAGTCATCCACCTCTGTTGCACCTTTGTTTGGCTCGAGAGGGTAAACTTTGGTGTGAGAGTATCACCAATAAGCTACCAACCATAGTGAGCCTAATCTGGTCCAAACTAAATGAGTGAAACAAAACATGCCAATATGCCATGTGTCATAGTTCTCAAGTCATATAAGCCATACTCGGTAAAACAACTTGGTCATGGCAATTTGACACCTAACATCGTGATACAAGACCAACATGTAAGTAACAAGGCTCATAACTATACTATCAAGTAAATGAGATAAATTTGGCTCAAACTTCAGGATATATCATAAACCAATCATCATTTTTTTTGTGCCAGACAAAATAAATATTGCCGCAGCCAAATCAAATTCAACGTTCATAAACGAGAAAACCTGAAATATTGCAAAACACAAAAAAATACTATTGAATTTTAATTTACAAAAAACTCATGTCATATCATATAACATTCACTATGAGACATGAAATTCATTCTGAGTAGGACAATAACAAATTAAGATGTGCCGAATCTAATGAATACTAACAATTGAAAAAAACAGGGAATCTACGACAATAGCACACAATCAACTTATAATACAAAAATATCAAAATAATTATAACTAACTATAGGACCTATATATTAAATAATGGAAATTAATGACTTTCAACAGATATCTATCAAGTAACATCATCATTTCATAACGTCCTGAGTTGCCTGTGAGTGGACTGAGATTAATTGAAAATTTTTTTCAAATGACCCTGATTTCAGATGGTTTTATCCCAGCAAGTAAAGTGCACAGTTAAGAAAGAGGAATTGAAATTTATTTTGTTTTGTGAAGAAAAAAAAATTCCAACAATTTTACTCTCCAATTGAGAGTAAAAAAAGTGAAAAGAAGAAGATGATAGAAACATTTTCCACCGTGAGAGGAAAACAACAAATGAGAAACAGCATTAAAAGAAGGTTTACAAGAGAAATAAACGGGTAATAAGGGGAAATATTGAAATAAAAACACATTATTTTCATTGATTTTACCATGCAGTCAGTAGCGCATGGGGCTAGGTTCGGAGAGTGGTTGATATATGCAGTGACTTCACAGAAGCGCAACTATTTATTTCAAAATAGTACAAAAGAGGAAGAATTGAAAAGCTTTTCTCACATTTGGTGACTCATGTTAAGGATGAGAAGCCATGAATAGAAATTAATCATCGAATTGAGTAGAATTTTTCTGAAATACAGATTACAATGATTAATTGTCAACTTATCATATGATGGACAAAACATTTATCAGCAAAAAACAATTCATATTTATATTAGAATGAACGGATGATAACAGTGAACATGTGGAGGTGTTTGAGATAGCAGTCAATGGAACAAGGGAATTTTACATACCTGCCACAGATTTCTTATGTGTTTATATATCTCACCTAAAATTTCATATTTACATACTTGCACTTTGGTGCTTTACAACTATGCATTGAAATGTGTATTTCACTTCTAAAAAGTGGTAATAGTGCTATTTTTTATGTGATATTAAAGATTTGAGTGCTATGTGTGCAAATATGAAAGTTTAGGTGTGAGATATGTAAATACAAAAGAATTGTGTGCTATGTATGTAAATGCTCAGAGATAAAAATGACCAACTTACAGAATTAGAATGATCCTTCCAAGGCATAGCAGCAGCTTTAGCATCCTCGTCCTGTTGCAATGACCATGCAATTGTTTCATCTACCTAGTAGAAGACAGAAGACCGGGATAATTAAATATGTGTCGATTACCATCTCAACAGAGGTAACAAAAGTAGGCAAAAAATATGGTACAAACAGAAATTAAGGTACTCATGTTTTTAATAAAAAAATTAAAGGAGTTCCTACCTCGAGATAACGTAAAAAAATTTCTTAAAATGTTGTCACTACCTTCTCCATGTTTATAAACCCCATAGTTTCACGATAAAACTGCTCTTGAAGTTTACGAGCAAAAGTTTCATCAGATTCAATTTGATTAGCACTGAAATTATCAGAAATGCTCAGTCGTCCATGAGAATTGCCGCAACTTGTAACTGGGAAATCTATTATAGTACCATGAAATCTATTTTTATCGCTCTTTTCGAGTTTCAAATTTGAAGTTCCAGAATGTAATTGGGAAATTGATGGTTGATTTAAAATTGAGCCTGAAGTTTCATCAGAATTGGAGAGTAATGAATTGCATTTCTTTTCTCCCTTTACATATTTTTTCCAACTGTGATTCCTTCTGCTTCCCACTGGGTCAGAAAATGCTTGATCGTGATCTTTCTCTTCAATACCAGATCCATGTCTCCAATCAGACAAGTAAGAAGAGGAATGGTTTTTTACATCATTTCTGGGACATGGAAGTGATAATTGATTCTTATTTAATTTTAAATCTTGAGTTTTCCGCCAAACCAAATTTTGGTAGGATTCAAAAGAATCTTGCTCTTTTGCGATGATCACCAAATCTTTCTCAAATAATGAAGCAGCCCTGTAAGGATGTAGAACTGAATTGATTTCGTGCCTAGAGGTCAACACATTCAAAGGTGAGTCAAATATGCTTAAATAAATTTCCCTTCACAAATAACATAAAAAAAAAAAAAAAAAACATGTCGCTAAGAAGTTAAATCAGACAAACAGCTTAGCAGTATCTATAACAAGTGAAAAAAAATCAATCAAACAATGTCTAGGGGTAAGACTATGTAGTATTTATAAAGAGAGAACAACATCTGAAATAGTGGTTCTCAACAATTTTGACATTGTCGTTAATGTCCCCGTTGAGATAGGATCAACTCAACCAAGGAGACAAGGCACAACCCATAAAGCATAAGAAACCAACAGCATTCCTTTATTTTAGTAGCTTCTATGTCGACAAGCTAATGCTCAGTATTGTCATTATCCTAGTTTCATAGCGGACCCATGTTACCTCAAAATTGGTTCTTTTATGAAAATATAATTTTGATATTGTTGTTAATGTTCCCGCTGAGATAGGATCAAATAAACTAAGGAAACAAAACACAGCCCATAAAGCATAAGAAAACTAACAGCAATCCTTCATTTTAGCAGCTTCTCTGTTGACAAGCTAATGCTCCTTATTGTCATTATCCTTGGGGCGGACCCGTGTTACCTCAAAACTTTTATTCTTTTATGAAAATATAAACTTTTAGGTGTTTGCCCCCCCTCAATTTATGGTTTTACCCTATCCTCGTTAAAAATAAAGCCAAATTAGAAACAATTTATGGTTTTACCCTATCCTCGTTAAAAATAAAAAATAAATAAAAAATCCAAATTAGAAATATAAAGCCAAATTAGAAACGTGTCTATTATTATCCTAAATTTTTTCATCATTATCTACTTATATTTGTCTTTTTTAAATTAATAGGATTATCTAAATAAGTTATTTGTATTATATATATATATACATATATATATATATATATATATATAAAACAAAGAAACAGAAATTAAAATTCACCATTAATTCTCACAAAATTTCTTATTTTTCAATAGTCACCGACATCAAAATGTGGCTTGAATCTATAATTTTAAGGAAACAACTTTATTCAATCATAGACCATGGTTCTTCTCACCTTATTCCCAAGATTATGCAGTAGTTTCAAGGTTACAGCTACTTAATTTATTAGATAATGGCATATAATTTTGCCCATCCTACAAAAATGGAGTTCAACCCCTGATTAGCTTGATGCACAGAAGGACCTTCCAGGGATGAACATGGATCATACAGCCAGCCTAGACCATGACTCATCAAGGAGACCTAATAGGATTTCTTTCAGAACTTCAAAGTGCTCCGGAAAGCCAATGATAGTTAGAACCGGAGAACCAAATCCGACCTGAGGTTATGTCACCCCTAATTTTATACCACTTCATCCTGAAGTTATAAATGACACCTCCATCCCCTCATCATTGTTGTTACAACATTATCCATCTAAGCTCAAGCCACAATGTCTATAAATCATTAGCGGTAATCTCATCGGTACCTTTAATGACCCATGACAATGACCCATGATTAGGGAAGAAAATTGTCACATCCTAGCATCTGTTTGGGGGTTTTCCCATAGATTGTGTAGCCACCATCGAAGGTCATAATCACCGAGGTCACAATCAACATCAAAATTGCCCTTAAGGTATGTCAAAACTAAACCTGATGTTTGTTAAACGTAACTGATGCTGAAGTTAACCCAAATCATATTAGGAAAAATAAATATTATTACTGGAAGCAAATAGGTGATTACAATCAAACACACATGAAAAAGAAAATATAACACATACCACATGTAAACTCATGCTAGGGCGGATGATAGTAGAGGGTCTGGTGAGATGGCAACAAGGAAAGAAAGGAGTTTACGGGCCATGGATGAGGAGCAGCAGCAATTATGGGTGGCCAGAACAGCGGGGCAGCAAGGGGTGGCAGCCCAAATAGCAGCATTTGGCTGTTTGGGGAGGTTGGACAGCAGTAAAACAGCAAGGGGTAGGCATTGCAACAATGGCAGCAAGCTGGAATGAGGAGAAACAGCTGGTCTGGTGGTTGGAACAGCAGAGCCGGACAGCCATTTTAGGGAGCAAGTTGGAATGATGGTGGCAGCGGTGGTAAAAGTGTGTGACTGCTGGACAGCCAAATGACGGTTGAACCAAGGCTGCGGCAACGAGAAGGATGGCTAGATGGCAAGGAACTGCAGGAAGACAGCAACGAGACTGTTGTCGAAGCAGTTGCAGCAAGGAAGAAGGCGTGGTAGCAAGGCGTGAGGGGTGCGGTAAGGGGTAGGGAAGATAATCACCACCTGGAAACCAACATACAGTCAAAGACCCACTTGGAACCCTAGGATACAACACTCGAAGGAAGAAGAAAGGCTGGCGGCTGCCTCAATACAAAATACAAAAAAAAACTGACTTGCAATTCCTAATACAGCATAAAAATGGAAAACGAAATTATTTAGGCCCTTCTCCCACGATAGTCATGCGCACGGTATTGTAGTAGCTACAGTTTCATGGGAATTTAGGAAGGTCAACTCATGCATTAATCTACCAGGATTTATGAAACTTTGACCTCATCCTTCGAAGCTTTTGTCTCCTCATTGTATGGTGTCAAGTCGGCCATGTTGAAGGTGACAAAAACGCTGTACTCTCTCGGTAAGTCAGTCATGTTAGCGTTAGCATTCAAAAGCATATCTTGATAGAATAGATATCCATCATGTTTTGGCACAATCATAAATAAAATTGTACGTGGATAGATATCCTCACGAACCAAGTCAAGCCATCAAATCTGAAATTGGCTTCTTCTGGTCTTCGTACTCATCCGAGAGTATATGATAAACCTGTATGTAAGGAGGAATCAATCCTGGGACAAAATTTATGGCAAGCTAGACCACACTGAAATATAGGCACCTAGAAGAGGCCTCTTATCCTTCTTCACTGAAAGAAGAATTGGAGAATTTTTTTTCCCCATAAAGCACCAAAGACAAATTTCAAAGCTGTAGTTCATCCCTCCTATCTGAACATTTGATGGTTGATACACTGTTGAATAGAATCCAAATCTAAATAACTCCTTATAATCTTCCACGTGTGACACGAAATGGCCTCATTCATGGCAAGATGGGCCTCCCTCGGTAGGAGCAACTCAGGAAAGAGTCTATAAATCTGAATTTCTCTTATCAAGGGTTGTCATGCCTCTAATGTGGGTTCCTTGAACTCAATACTGTCTTATACAATCATTGTTAATTTGGTTGGAGTCTCTCTCATAGGCTTAAGTAGAACTATGTTTATTTCTACCTCATCAGTTGGAAGCTAGTACTCCATTTGTTTCTTCATCTTCTTTAGCGTCTACTGTGTCATTACTCATTTCTTCACCAGCTCCCTGCTCAGTGAAATACATCATCCCCATAATTGTGCAAATCTGCTTCAATATGCTCAAATCTATGACACTTGATACACTTCCTGGCTAGGATTGATTTGGGAATGCAAATCAGAGTCCTTTGTTCTCCACTCTGTACTTGTCTCTTTAGGTGAGGTCAGCTTGGATGTTCCATTGGGTAACTTTGGCTATAATATATTGGAGTTGAAACCTGCCAGTAAGATATGGAGGTCGCCTGACGATGTGGTCTCTCTGTCTTTAAAGCTGATGTCTGAACAACCGGTCTGTAATGAGCGGGTAGAAAATTGGCACTGCATCACCCTTTTCATCTTGGACCAGGTAGTAATTTTATTATTTACTTCTCACCGGCGTAAGTACTTCTGATTTTGCCACTAAAATAGCACACTCTTCTTTAGCTTGTTGGGAGCTAATTTCAATATTTCGTCGGTGGGACATCCTGAAACTCAAAGACATTCCAAGGTCCAGAGCCACTCTACGAATTTGTCTGGATCCATGTGGTCGTCGAAATATGACAAATCCACATTTACTTCAAAATTCTGACTTCTCAGATATGTCAAGTCACATCTTCGAGGTAGAGGTTATCCATCCCTGGAATCCACATGACGGAAAAGGTTCACTCCATTTCTTCGATCTAACAAGTCACCGTTGTGGGGTAATGTAGGGTGAGAGAAATTTTAAGCGACAATAGGGTTGAGTATTAGTGGACGCTAGAAACCCCAGAATATGACTAGCGTTAATCAGACTCTGATACCAAATGATATCGAAGTTCACCCAAACCATATTAGAAAAAGCAAATATTATTACTAGAAGCAAATAGGTGGTTACAATCAAATAAGTTATAGTGGATATGTCTCTCTCGTGAGGATTTGACTCTACTTCTTCCTATGAACAAGTGCATCAACTGCTAAAGTTTATTTATGAACTGAAACAATCCCCACGGGCATGTTCGGCATGTTTACACAAGTTATAGTGGATCAGGGTTTCTCTCATGCCCAATCTAATCATAAACAGTTTTTTCGTCATTCATCTGGTAACTGTATTGCCATCCTCATCATCTACGTCAACGACATCATGCTCACAGGTAATGAATTGTTGGCCTTGGAATCTCTCAAAGGCATCCTTGTCGCGTCTTTTGAGATAAAAACTTGGGTTCTCTCCGCTATTTCTTAGGCATAGAAGTAGCTCAGTCCTCTTAGGGCATTAGCATTTTCCAACGCAAATATGTGATAGATTTACTGGCTGAGACTAATATATTTCTTTGCAAGCCAGTGGCTGTCTCGATGGACCCCAATGAGAGATTGGTGGAGGTTTTAGATATCGTTCCAATGAACAAAACACACTACCAACGCATCATGGGTAAGCATACCAGGCTCAGGTTTGTTATTCTCTCGTCACACATCTTACTCTGTTATAGTTTATACGGATGTTGATTGGGTCGATTTCATTGATAATCGACAATCTACCTCAAGCTATTGCTCCTTCGTGTGGGAAAGCCTTCTCACTTGGAAAAGTAAAAAAACAGTCTGTAGTTGCTTGTAACAGTGTTGAAATCGAGTTTCGAACTGTGTACTTGAGAGTGTGTGAAGCCCATTGCTTGAGCATCATGCTCCGCGAGTTACATAAGTCGATCACCGTTCCTTTACATCTTTTTGTGACAATAAAGCCGCCATTAAGATTCCTCATAATTCGAACCAACATGATCATACCAAGAATGTGGCGATTGACTATTACTTATCAAGGAGAAACTCAATTCTAAGGAGATTTGTGTTATGTTTGTATCATCCAATGGCGAACTGGCCGATATTTTTACAAAGAATCTTCCTCGACGTTGCTTAATGAATTCAAATTCAAATTGAACATGTTTGACATTGATGCTTCAACTTGAGGGGGAGTGTTAGAATTTATTTGTATTGATTTATTTCCTTTCTAATTATTTCCTATTTTATGTAAGAACTTTTTATTATTGACTTATTTCATTTCTGATTATTTCTGATTCTATGTATTTCCTATTTTATGTCTTTTCTTATATCTTTGGGTAATTATTAGGAATTAATTAATTGTAATCTTGAAGATATGGGTGTTATGTCTTTCCTATTTTAGAATTCATAACATGTATTTATACCCCTTTCCTATCATTAAAATTATCTTGCTCAATTCTCAAAACCTACAATCCATTTCAATAATAACAACTGATCATGTATTCTTTAATTATGAAGATTGTTGTGGCAATGTTGTGAAATTAAATGAAACATAATCTTCTTGCAAGTTCACTACTAGCATATATTGAAAACGATATTGTAATGAATTTTGATGTGGAATCTCTTATTGATATTTTCGATATAATAAAAACATGTCAAACACAATTTAAGATGTGCATTCATAATGATTATATTAAAAGTGACATTTTATGTTATAATTTATTCTTAGCTATTATTAATTTTATCTTATTTATTTATAAAAATTAAAATTTTAATTTTATTTTAATTAAATTAATTTTTATTTCGCCCCCACTCTATTGAAACTCTAATTCCGCCACTGGCTCCCAACTAAATCTTTTATGCGATAGAACCACTGTTAGCTATGTCTACAAATAGAGCTCCCATGTGAGTTTCATTCCACCAGCAAAGCTAGATGGCTTTTATAGGAATTAGCCAACTCCCCTCATTAGAATGATCCCGAAAATCCATAATCTCAGCAAAACCAAATCAAGACAATCAGTCAATTCACAGAAGCCACGCTCACGGTTAAAATTGGGTTCATACATGGTTAGTAACTGAATTATGTTGAAATCTTTGACTTCGCTCGGTTAAGGACCATGTCAGAATTTCAACCAAAACAAACGGAACTAAATCGAGTGCAAATAAAAGATTTAAATGCAGCAAACCAATACATAGGGGGGCAAATCAGGTTCACGAGTCAAATTTTGCTCTGACTCAAAATTAACCAACTTGAAACGGCTTGACCTAAAACCAATCCAATTATTAAACGGGTAAGAAGGTCCAACCTGAACTTGAACCTCCTTAAGCATGTTAACCCAAACCCAACACATACAACCCATTTTACATAAGGCATAAAATCTATTTGGGTCAAATTCAAGTAAAATTTGAGTCAATTTTAAGTCAATCTTGAGTCAATTTCGGGTTGACGGGTCAACTTCAGGATAGCATGTCAATTTTGGGTCAATTTCAGGTTCGCAAGTAGCTCGAAAACCACCCAAAAATTAGTCGGCTCCACCATAAACTCAGAATTTTCAATTCTAAGCCTGCGATGAACTGGCATGACAGGTCAATTTTTTACATCCGTACCCATATGTAATTGTCCATGTTATATACAACAAAATCTAAGAGATAATCCAAGCCAGCCTTATCAAATCAAGAACAGTGAAGGTTTTGATCCTCTAATTAGAATAGCCAAAACCTAGAAAGTACTGGTAAGATGTCAAGTTGAAAGAATGTCTTCTACTCTTTTGAAAGAACTGAAATAAAGTGTACAAGTTATAAATAAATATGTAAACCTTTTAATCAATGGGAAGCATAAGTAGCAATCCATTGACAATAATGTGCAGCAACTGTTATAAATCATGAAGTTCACATTTAAAAAATAAAAACAGCATCAGTTAAGGAATTTAAAACATCAAAAATCAACATCAATATCACAGTTACAATCACACCATTTTTTTAAAATCCATTATCAGTTAGACTAAACAGCGAGTTTTGCACCAACCTGTTGGATCGAATGGTAGGTTCGCCATGATGTATATCATTTGGAGAATCACCCTTCAAAATCTGTTTCCCTTTCATATTATCAGAATGTGAAGGGTTAGGGTTTAATTCATTGGATGGGAATCCTTGCAGATCACTGAAACAAAAAGTCCCATTCTGTTTCATTCTGGAGTTCAAACCAGAATCAAAGCAAGAATAAAATTCTTTATTCTTATTTGAAGAACTTGAGATCTCATCAGGCTTCCTCATTATTGATCGATTGGATGAAGATGACCTCGGAACAGGAAAGTTCTGCCTATGGTTGCCCTTGCTCTCAACTTCTTTCCCTCTGAACCTCTTATCACTTCGTTGAAAGGGGAAGGGGCTTCCCACGTCTGGATAAAGTAAAACTTCATTCCTTCCATTCTCATTTCCTACTCTTTTCTGAGCAGAGATTGCACAACCTTTTTCAAGAGAATTTGACGAACTCATTGGTTTCCATGGCCGCATTCTTGGGTCTGCTGATGAAATGTCGATCACTTCCGTTAAATCATCTTCCCTTGCCGAAGGCTCAACTGAATCACTACCCGTAGAACTTTTCTTAGTCCTTTTAGGTTTTTTCAAAGCATCAGAAACAAAATCCATGTCCACAGCGCTGATATTCTGCATGAGTGAACCAAAACAAATTATCAGAAGCGTCACAAACCCAACATGAAGATAAAACATCCACAAGAAAAACATTTTTCATCATCATAGACGCTAAAAACTTCAAACTCTCAAGAACTGCGTCACATTACTCCCACAATTACCGAAATATTACATCATTTCAAACACTAAAACAAGACGACTTCATTCAAAAATGATAAAGATTAAGTAGCTGTTTGGTAGCCGGGCAAACGGCAAATTCCATCTCCGTAAATCCTGAGATTTGGTAAATACTAAAATGACGCCGATTCGCCTTAAATCCGGGATTGAGTAAATCCCGTGAATCGGAGTATTTAGTAAATCCGGGACGAGCGAAGAGGCTTACCTTCCACAATGGTTAGGATGAGAAAGATGGGAAGCCGCGATCCCGCCGTTGCCTTCCCAGGTAGCTCTAATGGCTACTGTACATGAAGGCGATGGTATTGAGCAAAACCGGGAGGGGAGGGAGATGAGCCAGGGTTTGGGCGGACATGGGAAGTTTGAGCGAAGCCGTCGAGGGGAAGTGATTAAATACTTGATTAATTTAATTAACTCATAATTAATAATTAATTTATATATTATTAAATTAATTACAATTACATAAATTTATATGTAATTATTTAATGGTTAAGTGATGAATAAAATTTTAAATTATTTAATATAATGTTAAGTACTCTTAATTTATATCATTGGTTAATATTAAATTATTGTTTAACATGTAGTTAAAAGTTTTAAATTATTAATGACAATGTCTTTTTTATGTATTTTGAGAAACACGTTTGTATTTTTTTATTTAATATTTATTTTTTATGTTTACTCTCATAAATCTTGTTAAATCTTTTTAAAACGGTCAAACAGTTAATCAGTATTTATCGAGATTTACTAGCATGTCAAATCATAAGGTAGTCATTTGCATTATTTTTATATGCTTGATGTAGGAATGGGAAATTAAGGTTGGCTTATACTTTTATGTTAAGCATAAGTTTATCTAAATATTCCATCTTGTCTTTAGACATGTATGATTGTATATGATTGTATGAACAAAAATGAGCTTGATGCGGGAATGCGTTACCGATCAAGGCCATGGCTTGATGATAGAAAATATACGTAGAAAAATAAATATTAAGGTAAATGAGAAATAGATATGAATACCAATTGAAAGAAATAAAAAAGGTGAAAGCACCAGATTGATAATGTGTGATTTCATTTATGCTTCTTGAAGCTTTACAATTAGAATCAATGGGCTTTAAATCCATGTCAAACTATTTTATTTCACAATCAATATGGTTCTGATCTTCTATTGCATTTTCCTTATCGCTTGAGGTTTTTGATCTTGGTTTCAAAGTCTATGATTTCTTCTCTTCTTGTTTGCATGTTGATTTCTCTTTTTTTCTAGACAGAATATAAATTTTTTTGTTTAATCGTGTGGTTGATGAATTTGTAGTTGTGGTGGATGTAGTTTAGCATATATGATCAATTTGATTTGCTAAATTCAATTAGTGGTTTCATTACATTGCTTTGGTCAAGGAATTATTAATGAAGCTTTTCATTAATGTTTTGAGACTGAATATTATCTCATAAAGTTTGAATGAGCATATCATTAAAAAAGACATCCATTAAATAGTTGATTATTTTCATGTTATCATTTAATTGTATTGTAATCGACAATTTTTGCAACTTGCTCTATGGTAGCTAGTTAAATGAAAATTGGTTCACATTGATGTATTTTAAAATACAACTTCATTATTGGAACAGATTATATCTCCAACTTCATAAATCTCCAATTATATCTCTCTTGTCACACCAAGAAGAATTATTTTGTTATCTATTTACATCTTTGTTCCTCATGTTATCTTTTTTACTTATGAATACATTTGCTCAAGTTAACATTTTTTGTATGTAGAACTTGTGCAATCCAATATTAGAAATGAATGCAATGAACGTTCAAAATAAGTGTTTAATATCATATTCAAATATGGAGGGTATTTGATGTATGTTAAGAATCAATCTAGAAGAAAATATGACGGTGGTAAACAAAAAACGATAAAGATACAAAAATATATTTTGAGCTTATTGGTGCTTGAAGAGAATATTGAAGAAATTTTTTTGTGGCTTAGAGACCATGGATATGAGCTAAATTATCATAAATGTAGAACATCACCAAATGATTATATATATATATATATA